CACTGCGCCCGCCTCCGGGCCCCGCTTCCCGCCCCACTGTCCACGTCGAACCTCTCATTCATCACCTCCACGCTCACCTCGGTGTGCCCCGCCCGGGTGAACTGCCCATGAAGGGCAGCATGTAGGCGAGTCACCGCCTGCGCATCAGGAAGCAGTACCCCAACAACGGCCACCTGCGCCTCCGTGTAGCTTGGCAGGAATGTGTTCGTACTCGTTGTGTTTCAGTGCGCCACCCCTGGTATTCTCCTGGAGCGTCAGTCCGGTCGCTGAGGCAGCGTGCGTGACCAGCAGCCTCATGACCTCCGCGTCCTCACGCCCCAGTTCGCCACGAACTGTGACCTCTGTGAGGTGATCGATGGCGGCCAGGGTACGGTTATCCTTCCGGCGACTGGCGGCGAGCGCCGACCGTGTCGCAGTGGCCTCGGGGCGGCCCCCGCGGGACGGCTTCCAGCGCAGCGCAGTCGCCGCCGTCGTCGGGTCCGCACGCAGCACGCGGTCCATGGTGTCCACCCACGTGTCTTTGCTCGCCTCCGTGAGGAGGAGGGCTCGCGACTGGCTCAGCACGAGGAGTTGGCCACAGAGCGGCCATAAGTGGTGGAGCCCTCGCGAGTTGTTCATGTCCAGAATGAGGGCGTCCGAAGCTGTGTACAAGGCCTGCGAGCCGAATAATGTAGTGCAGTGGAAGGGAAGCGCGGCCGGAGCGCCTGGCCGATGAGAGTCAGATCGAACCAGAGGGTCGGGGGGAAGAGGACATCAATCACCAACCTCGGCATCTCCGTAGTGTGCGCGGAGCTGCGCCAAGGGTTGCGCCAAGTGGCTCCCTGCATGGCGGGATCCTGCAAGAGGACCGCGAAACTCATCACGTCATCCGCCCGCATGTCGAAAGACATGGGCGTAGCCGCGGCAACCTGTAACAGAGGGGCTCTGTGCTGCAGCATCCTGGGCGGGTCGCGCGCCCCAGCAAAAGCGATCGTGAAGACCGCCAGCCCCATGCGCACGTGCCTCGGCGTGGTAGGTCCATGCAGCACCATGTCCAGCGGCTCGTCAGAGAAGCCGATGCCTCGAATCAGGGGGGCCCACCTCCCGCCCAGCAGCGGAGACCCCCAACTGTCGAGGATGTGCTGAACGTCGTGCGCACCGTTGAGCACAGGGAGCGGCGCGAGCAGGCGGAGGGAGGCCGGCCATGCGCCCGCGCTAACTCGGCGAAGCAGCGCCGCCCGGCAGCGTGAGATCGCATTGTCATCCTCGGGGGTCCAGGCGACCACGTGTTGCCCGTCGAAGGCCTGCCAGGCGCTCTCGTCCCCCTTGTCCAACAACATCGCCACCGCGCGAGTGCGCTCCTGATTGCGGTCGCCGGCCTGGGCAGGTCCAAGCAGCGAGGACCACTGCGTGAGAAACCACGTGTCCTGGTGCCCCGTCTGAGCGCAGAGGAGGGCGAGGGCCTCCGTGCCGAGCTCCTTCCAAAGGGGGAGCGCGCCGATGCGGAGGCGGCGCCTTTCCTTGAGCGCATCTGGCAACTCCTCAAAGCAGGCCGCGGCAGCTAATCGGAAACCGCTGCGAGCAGTCTCCGCCGCCTGCCGATCGGAAGGCGGCAACTCGGCCTTGCGGCCCAGCTCGCATAATTGTACAGCCGTGCGTTCCCGGGCGGCCAGGGCCAGGGCCGTGGGCGCGGGGCCCTCCAGCGCCGCGTAGCCCAGCCGCCGCCAGGGGTCGGAGGCGTTCGACGCGTAGCCCACCTGTTGGAGGATGCCCTGCAGCGTGCCCCAGTCCTTGGGGTACTCAACGGTGATGCTGGCCTCGTCCGCCCTGCTCTGCGTCGCGGCCTGGACGAGGTCGAAGTGGCGCAGAACCTCCTGCTCGAGCCACTCATGGAGCATCGGGCCTGGGAGGGCCAGCTCGAGAGAGGGGGCGAACTCCGGTGGCGGGGCCGACGAAAGGCCGCCGTCCACGCCAGAAGCGGCAGAGCTGGCAGCGGGGGCGGCGGGCGCCCGGGCGGCCGGCTCTGCGGCAAGCCACGGGGCGGCAACCCGCGGGGCCGCGGCCGCTTCCAGCGCGTGCGCCAGTCGCAGCACAGTCCCACCCATCTGCGCGGCGCTGGAAGGGCTTGCCGCCTCAGCGGCGGCCCCGGCGTGGGCGGCGCAGTGGGCGACCCCCGGCAGGGCTGGAGCGTCGACGCCAGAGGCGAGGCAGACGGCGCAGCGCCCAGCCATCAGACAGTACAGGTGATAATCACAACAAAAAAAACAGACTGCAACGGTGAGCCTGCATGCGCCCTGTGCAATCGAGGACAAGCAATTTGGGCCTTGAGCCACCACACGGGTCAATCCTGCAGCGCCAGAGTTTCGGAGCTCCTCCTCCTCCTCCTCCTCCTCCTCCTCCTCCTCCTCCTGCTCTCTGTCCTTCTCATCCCACTCTCCTCCCTACTTCCTTCCTCCAGCCCTCCTGTCTTACACCAGGCCAGTAGGCAGCGAGGGCATCGATCGGGGTGTGAAGGGGCACGGCAGACAAAACCTCAAGAGGAGGGCAACGACAACGATAACGACGACGACGACGACGACGACGACGACGACAACGGCGACGACGACAACGACGACAACGGCACTCACGAGCGACGGGGGGGGGACTGGTGAGAGGACGAGGAAGGACGAGGTTGAGACGAGAACGAGGACGACAGACACTCGTTTTTCATCACGCACGGCACCACGGATGCCACAACCACATCGCGGATCAAAATGTCGCCAGGCAAACCAGGAACACTGCACAAGCCGACCTGCAGTAGGCACACTCATGCAGTGAGCCGTGGCCTGAACAACGAATGGACAATGCATTTGCGACAGGAAGGAAGAGTACGAGGGAGAAGGAGAGGACAAGGAGGAAGAGGAGAGGGGGAAGAACAGAAAAGGCGCCTCAGGCGAACTAGACAAGAACAAACGCGCCAGTTCGGGTCACGGAGGCGTACAAGTGGAACCCAGAGGAGATAAGTCGCACCGCTTCGAAAGAACTCGTCGCCGCGACTCTCTGCAGTTGCTTGCTGCGGCAGCACCTGTCACAGGGCGGACAACTCCTGCCCCCCCCCCTCGACAGACAGACGACACCACAAAACGAGCTGCGTGCCCGTGACAATTATTGCCAGGGCGAGTGGGCGAGGAGGACGAGGAAGGATGAGGAGGAGAAGAGGAGGAGGAGGGAGGAGGAGGAGGAGGAGAAGAGCGGCACTGGAGAGGGGGGGGTGCAGGCTCCCAGAGGAGGAGGAGGAAGAGGAGGAGGAGGAGGAGGAGGTGGCGGTGGGAGAGTGGACAGCGCGGGAGTCAAAAACGGCCGTCACGCACCTCGGCTATTGGAAGCCTGGCCCGTGCCAGAAGTACAACAAAAAAGCGGCAACAAGAGGAAAAGGAGGAGGAGGACGACATATGTGTGTATATATAGCCTCTGGAGGGCGGCGACGAAGACGGCGATGGCGGCGACGACTACCACAGGAGGAAGCACTGAAGAAAGAAGGCGGACAGCTGCAAGCGTGAAGGCATGCCAGCTTCCCATCGCACCCACCAGGAGTCCTCATCTGATTCCATCTGCTTCTTCTCCACATGCACCTTCTCCTCTTCCCACTGCACGATGATTTGTCCCCCTGCCTCTGCCTCCTCGCCTTTTTCTCCCTCAACCATATGGCTTCCCTGTGTCCTCACTACTCATCACTCCATCCAGGTGGCGAGGAAGGAGGGTGGACAGGGATGGGGGAGGGTGGCGGGGAGGGTGAGGGGCGATTGGGGGACAGTGTGGAAAGAGGAGGAGGAAGAGAGAGGAGGAGAAGGAGGAAGGGAGAGGAGGAAGGACAGTGACATTGAAAGGAGGAGCATGTGGATGGGGAAGAGAAGGGGGCCAGAGGAGAGGAGGAGATAGAAGACGGGCAAGGAAGAAGAGCAGGAGGATGAGAGAGAAAGGACAGTGACGTGGAAATGAGGAGGACGTGGATGGGGGAAAGGAGGCGCGAGAGGAACGGAGGAGATGAAGGGAGAGAGGAACAGGGAGGAGCATCATCCTTCTCATCCTGGCCCTTCCCCCCATCATGCTCCATCCTCGTCCAGATCCCCCTCATCACCCCTCCCCCCTCTCCCTCTTCTCTCCCCCTCATTCCTCCGCCGCGCTCCCACATCCTCTCCTCGAATTACTAGCGGTGAAGCTAAAGGATACCGCTACCGCTGCTCACCAGACCCCTCCCGATGTGCGTTCTGGCCAGAAATGCCCATCGACCGCCTGGTCCGCCGGTCGTTTCGCCTGAGACTCCCTCACAAGCTATCCAGTAGTCGTGGTCTCGCCTCAGTGCTGGCTACAAGTTTGGCCCAGACGCGCGCGATGCCTTGTTTAAAAAAAAACGCACCGAGTTACACATGGCCACGTTCCCACCCCTGTCCAGGCAAGTTCTCACCGGCCAACCTGCCTACTCCTCGACCGGCCTCTTCACCTTTTTGCTGCTACAGTAAGGTGCGCTGCTGGGACAGTCCCACCAGCGCTTTTTTTGGGGCGTGAGTGGTCTAACGAGCTCGTTCTGCCAACCCCATCCTTTCCCCTCGGAGAGGGGGTCGCCCCTTCCCCTCCCCCCTCTTCCTGGGCCTGGAGCCCGCACCCGCGAGGCGCTGGAGGGCCCCTTTTTGGGGGCCCAGGTGGGGCCCAGAGTACCCGCAGAGAGCCCAGAAGGGCCCCCAGGAGCTCTCCATTTGGCACAAGATGGTGAAAGATGGCCTTCCACACGCCCCCAGGAGCACACGCCCTCTGACCTAGAGGAAGAAACAACGGCAGAAGCACAAACTTTCGACGGTCCGCGCGGATCCCTCGGATCCACGCTAGAGAGCCCCCCTCCCCGGCGCGCGGAGCGCGCCAGGGGCGACGCCGGAGGCGCCGTCGGGGGGGCCCAGCGGACCGTAGAAAGTGTATGTTTATGCCGTTCGTTGCTTCTTCGACGATCCCCCCCCTCCCCCTGCCGCGCTCGAGACCGCGGCCGGGGCCTGCGTGGCCTGCACCAGGGCGTAGGCCGCAGCGCCCACGAATGCGAAGACCAGCTGCGACAGCTCCAGCGGGGCGGTCAGCAGCAGCAGCACGACGGCCAGGGCCCCGAGGGTCCTCCAAGGGGAGGAGGGGCGGAGCGCGCTGCCGGCCTGCTCGCTGGTGGGCGCCCTGGCGTCCCGGCCCCCAGCGGTGTGCCAGCCAGGCTGGGAGGCAGCTCCTGGGAGGCCTTCTTGGGGTCAGGGCTAATTTAATGGAGCCACTGAGCCAGATCAGGCTGGATTGAGCTTGGGATTGACAGAAAGAGAGGAAGGAGAAGAAGAAGAAGAAGAAGAAGAAGAAGAAAAAAAAAAACATAAACATAAACAGTTGGCGCGCCGCGCGGATCTCGTGGATCTGCGCTGGACCCCCCCCCCTCCCTGGCGCGCGGAGCGCGCCAGGGGCGGCGCTGGAGGCGCCGCCAGGGGGGCCCAGCGCGGATCCATGAAATCCGCGCGTCTGCGCGCCAGGGAGGGGGCTCCAGCGCAGATCCGAGAAGTCCGCGCGGAGCGCCAACAGTTTTATGTGTGTATATATATATATATAGAGAGAGAGAGAGAGGGAGATATACATGTGGCGTTTTTCCTTCTGCGAGTCTCGCCCGTGCCCCATCCAGAGGGCCTCGCAAGCGTGCAAGCTCGCTGCTGGCGCGCTTGAGCATCGTCTAACCGATCCCTATCCCCACTCGCGTGGCCTGGGCCCCACTGGCCGGTTTGCCCCCCCAGGTGGGGATTTCGGCAGCTTCTGTCCGATTTCGAAGGGTATATCCCCAACTGGGGGGATGAGATGGTGGGGGTCTGGATGGGGATGAGGATGGGGCTGGGGATCGGCTAAACGACACTGAACGCTTCGCGCCTGCAGCGCAGCTGCCAGGAAGCTTACAGTCGGGACGTTGACCTAAGGAACCCAAAATAAGGAACGAGGCCCCTTTTTTCCATAAGTTAAACTTCGATTTCCGATCGAAAACATAAGGAAAAATCTGAGGCAAGCTGCGAAACACTCAAGGAACGCGGAGCCCCTCCCCAACGAAAAGGGTTCCTTCTTCAGGACCCCTACTGTACACTCCACGCGTGCCCGCTCGCGGCTGGCAGCCAGCACGCGTGGCCAGCGCCCCGCTACCGGGGACAGCCCGCCTCCACGGTGCCCGCTCGCTCCCGGGAGCCATCGCCTTGGGTTGCGTCCTAGGAGGGGGAGGAGGAGGGGGAGGGGGAGGAGGAGGGGGAGGGGGAGGGAGGGGGAGGGGGAGGAGGAGGAGGAGGAGGAGGAGGGAGGAGGAGGAGGAGGAGGGGAGGAGGAGTAGGAGGAGGAGGAGGAGGAGGAGGAGGAGGAGGAGGAGGAGGACCTTGTCTGTCCCGTCGCGGCCCTGTCCGCGTCGAATCCGTGTCGCATCCATGTCGCTCTCGTCGGATCCGCGTCGAATCCGTGTCGCATCCGCGTCGGATCCACGCCAAGTCCGCGTCGAGCCCGCCTCGGGCACAGGAAAAGAGACACGACTTTGGGGGGACCGGCGGGATCCCCCGAAGATGCCACGTAACGGCGCGTCTCCAGCTTCGCGGGCAGGGTGTGGCCCAGGTAGTTCACAGGAGTGTCGGCGGCGACGATAGGGGCGAACCGCCCATGGGGCGGGCATTACACGCATTCGCCCGGGAGCCTTGTCGAAGACGCAGATCATCGGCACCCCTGGACACGTGTACTGCTGCCGCCTGGGCTATTCGCCCAGTTCGTCGCCTCCGGGAGTGCCCGCTCGCTGGAAGCGCACTTCCCGTGGCCAGCGCAGCCGCCGGGACGCCCACTCCAAGCGTGCCCCCTCGCGGGCCGAGCACACGCCGCGTGGCCAGCGCCGCTGCCGGGAAGCTCCCCCCGCGCGGGCCCGCTCGCGGCCGCGGCACCGCGCACGCCCCGAGCTGCTATGAAACAGGGCCAGGATCGGCCTAAATCGCTCGCAGAGCGTCCCGGAGCGCTCGCAGAGCGTCCCGGAGCGCTCTCAGAGCGGCCGCGGCGCCCATGTATGCATCCTCCGAACCCGCCGATTCTCAGAGATCTCGAGTTCTCCCGATGCGATTCTGTCCCGATCTTCGCGCCGTTTTAGGCTGCCACCCGGAAGCTCCCGCCGAGCGGGCCTGCCCGCCTGCAGGCTGGCGTGCGTATAGGAGGCGCGCGGCGGCCCGAGGCCGGCCCCGCCCCTCCCCATGCACCCCCCGCGGCGCCGGCGCCGCGTGCGGCAGAGGCTCCCCGGCGGCGCCGACGCGAATCGCGGCGTGACCGGCCGCCTCCCCCCCTGACCTTCCAGGGAGCTCTTTTTTAGCGCGGAGGCCTAAAAAACCTAAACACGAAACGAGCCAGCCTAAAACCAAGACATCGAATAGCTCTGGGATCGGCTCTTTAGTCGCGTGCTATGTTTTAGCCCTCCTGGAAGGTCAGGGCCCCCCCCCCTTGCCACCCCCCCGGGTCACGCCCAGCATCGCCGGGGAATTCCACCCGCGGCCTCCGCGCGGCGGACACATCGCGCCGCCGGCGCCAGTCGCCAGGACGCCGGGCCAGGAAGCCCACTCCGAGCGTGCCCCCGCTCGCTCCGGGCAGCCACCGCGTGGCCAGTGCCGTGGGCAGGAGGCAACCCAGGACGTGAACTCGGAGCGGACTTCGCAGGAGCAGCGCGTAGCCGCCCGGAAACTCTTTCCGAGCGCGCCCGCTCGCGGACCGGGCAGCCATCGCGCTGCCGGCGCGGGTGCCAAGACGCTGGCCTGAGAGCTCACTCCGAGCGCGCGCGCTCGCGGGCCAGGCAAGGCGCACTGCGAGAAAGCAGGCCCCAGTGGCTTGCTTCGGGTGCTTCCCTGGCCCACACGAGCCTCTGCCCACTTCGGGTTCCCAGCCCGCCCAGTCAGAGCAAACGAGCACAGTGCGCAGCGGCCTCCTCTGTGTGGCTCCCGAGCGCGCCTGTCCACTTTTGGATCCAAGCCCGCCTGGCCAGTGCATTAGCCGAAACAGAACCCAGCAGGTGGTCTTCTTCAGTATCCTGGCTCCCATCCCCAGCCTGCCTTTTTCGTCGCGCTGGGAGGAGGAGTGAGGAGGAGTGAGGAGGAAGGAGGAGGAGGGAGGAGGAAGGAGCAGGGAGGAGGAGGGAAGCAAGCGGAAGAATCTCAAAGGAGAAACGGCGACCACCCGTGAGATCTGGGCGTAACACTTTTCACACTGAGTGTTTTCGCCCGCCTTCGGGCCCCCGGACCATCACAAATCGGCCCGGCTCGAAAAATGGACCAGAAAAATGGAGTCTAGGGCTCCGGCCGTGATTCTTCACGATGCTGTATTGTTTCGCGACGTCGGATCTCAGGGAGAGGGGGGGGGGGGGGGCGACCCTTGCATGTTGGCACGCCCGAGCGTCGCCCCGTACTGGGTGACGCTCGGGCGTGCCACCGCCAAAGGGTCGCCCCCACCCCTCCGATGAGTTCTCGGTGGCGGTGGCCTCTGTCTGTCCCCTCTAGTGAAAGCAGGCGTGTCCGTACCATGCCCTACCCTGCCCCCCCCCCCGCCCACTCCAGGCCGATCCAAGGTCTCACCCAAGTCGGGAGCAGCTGGCGGATGAGGGGAACCCGCTTGCGACCCCGCAGCGGGCCTCGTGTCGTTCTGCATGGAGCCCCGGGAGTCGAAGGGCCCGAGGAGGTGGCGCAAGGCCATGGCTGCATTGGCAGAAGCTTCATGAAGCGAGCAGAACGTGGACATGATCACTAGCGGATGTCAGTCGAAATTAGAAGAAAAAGACACGCCACAAACATAATTTGTTGGCGCTCCGCGCGGATTTCTTGGATCTGCGCTGGACCCCCTCCCTGGCGCGCGGAGCGCGCCAGGGGCGGCGCCGGAGGCGCCGCCGGGGGGGCCCAGCGCGGATCCAAGAAATCCGCGCGGAGCGCCAAAGTTTGTGTTTTTAGCGTTTTTACTTCTTCGAGAAATGCGACAACGCCAGCTACACTGCAACATCAGACTAGGTCAGGGCCCAAAATTGTCCGGGACGGGTGTGTGCACGTGCTGGTCAGGTAGACACGCCAGTCCCCGGCCCCATGTCTGGCTGGGCCACTGCTGATTTGATGTTGGCTTGTGGCAGGCCTTCTCCAATGGAGCAGAATCTGTAAGTCAATCGGGTGGGCAATCTCTCCTCTCGCTAATCTTGTCGAGAGGTGCACTACCGATCGTTGGGATATCGATGGCGGCTTGAGCCAAAAAGCAAAAGGTGATATTCAGCGCCGCTCACTGCAACTCAACACCGTTCATGCTCCGCTACTCCCATTCCTGCCCCCATCCGACTGATCCGACTGTCACTCTTCATCCGTCTCCCAAGCTCATCAAACCCAATGCGGCCCATGATACAGCACCCTGAAACTTGACAACCTCGGAAGGTTCAATAGAGAGGTAGAACGAATGCGTAGAAACGGGTATGGTATATGAAGCACAGCGTTCACTGATAATTTGGCGAGCTGGCCTCCATGCCATGTAACTCGTTCGGGCAGCCCTACGCCATGAAGCCAGGTCAATTTAGAACGCCTGCGTTGTCCTTGGAAAGCTGTGCCGCTGCCTTCTTCCCGTGTCGTGTCGCTAGAACCCTAGAACCCTGTTCGTCGACTATCCACCCTTCTGATCGTCTGCTTCCCCGCTCCTCCTCCTCCTCCTCTTTCTCCTCCTCCTCCTCCTCCGATTTGAAGTCCGCTCCTTGACGCAACTCTGGTCAATCCCTGCCCGTGCGAAACCTTCATCGAAAAACCCGCGGCATGCGCCTCGAGATGCAAGAAAGTTTCGGTTCTCGTGTCGTGCTTTGCCAGCCAACCACAACACATCTGCCGTTTCCTAAAACTCCCAGCACAGAGGAGGTACGCGTGGACGGCCGAGAACGAGCCCGCGGCGTCCATTTGCAAATGACAAGGCAATGGGAGACACCACGCTGCTCCATTCGTCATTGGTGACAATGAGGGGTGAGCCCGGCGCAACGTGATCGTGAAGCAGCACAACATCGTGGTGAACAAAGCAAAAACATAACAAACTCGCATCGCGCAGCACCAGAACTGCAATCCTCCCCAAACCACTCCCAAGGGGGCTCCTCCCGGCCGGTTCGGAGGGGGGGGGGCGAACGGTCTCGGATACCTCGGTGGCCCGTGCAGCTTCAGACCAGCTTGTGGACAGCCTCCGACGGCTTCGAAACGGTTCACCCGGCTCCTTCGACGATTCCAGGTGGCATCCAGTCGCCATGTGGTGGTTTCCCGACAGCCTACACAGAAGCACCCAATCTCCATCCAAGCCAAAATTGGCAAATGTCCTCCGGAGAATGAGTCATCTTGTTCGCAAGCTTGACCAGAGGCCCTGATGAGCGAGCAGCGACCCGAGACGGGCCAAGAGGCCCCCGCGATGGCTCAAGGCGGCCATGGACGGCCCAAGAGACACCCAAGACAGCCCAAGCAAACCCCGAGATGAGCTCACGACCGCCCAAGCGGACCCCACGCCGGCCCCACACAGGCCCCACCCAGCCCGAGATTGCCCCAGTACGGCCCGCACGGCGCTGCTGGCGGCCCAGGACGGAACCCAGAGGCCCCGTAGACGCTCGGCGGCGAGCGAGGGGGGAAATGAAACGGAGAAGGCCTTCTCAGAAT